GTTAGCAAGTGCTCAAGATAAATGTTTCCTGAACTGAAACATTTTATAGTCTTTGGAAAACACAAAAAAGAAGGTGGAGAAACACCCATAGTTCCACCATCCTTCTTTCACTTTTCTGTACATGTTTATCTTTATTTTGGCCCATAGTTGCAAACGTGCTGTAAGGGATTTCAAGATTTTGCATCTTTCATTGAAAGACAAGGTCTTCCTTCATATGATAATTTTTAATGGCTGCAGAATATTCCATCAAGGGAATGTTTTCTTCACAGCTCCTCCCCATTTTTTCCAACTTGAGGGTTTTATTCCAGTCTCTGATGCTGTTCCAAGCATGCCTGGGATTAAAATTCTTTCCTTATTTGATGTGACTTGGAGAAATGAATTCCTAAACATATCTTTTTTGAAACCAGTGAGCCAGTATTGGGGGGAAGTTTGGGAGACAAAGGCTCTCCATGTCCTAGTGCTGAAACCATGCCAGAGGTTGTGTATTTTATCCTTGCTTAAGGACACCTGACCCTGTGGGTATTTTTGAACTTCAACTTCTGGGCTGAGGGTTTCCTCCATCTGCTAAAGGTGCCTGCCCACCCACACCACCTACTAGCCAGAAGTCAAGAGATCTGACCTTCAGATCTGATCTTCAACCCGACAATAGTGAACTATGGACCTTGGATACATCACTTCTGTGGGCCTTTCTCTGTCATTTCAAGGGGGGATTACCTCTCCACCCTGCCCCTGGAGAAGATCTGATGAGGGAGAGTCCAGTCTCAGTCCAGTTCTATGCCTATTCACTGTGGGCCCGCACTGTCCTGGGAAGCTCTCTGGGCTCAGTTTTACCATCTCTTATGTAAAAGCCTGGAATAGTAGGATCGCCAGGCAGGTAGAAGTGAGCTCAAGGGTGCCCACTTGCATTATTTACTCTGCTGTATTAAGCACCACTAAGACACAGAGATCTCAGTACCCAGTACAAACTCAAGAAAATATGACTACACTACCAATAACTATTAACAACTTCTATGTGAGCAGTGAAACGTTATTCTCCAAATTTAAAGATCTACCTTTGAATAGATCCACCTTCTAAGGCTGAATCTCACCCAAGAACCAGAAATCAAATTGCCAACAATTTCTGGATCATAGAAAAAGCAAGGGAGTTTTAGAAAAACATCTACTTCTGTTTCATTGACTATGCTAAAGACTTCCACTGTGTGGATCACAATAAACTGTAGAAAATTTTTAAAGAGATGGGAATACCAGACAACCTAAGCTGCCTCCTAAGAAACCTGTATGCAGGTCAAGAAGCAACAGTTAGAAGCAGACATGGAACAATGGACTGGTTCAAAATTGAGAAAGGAGTTTCTCAAGGCTGTATATTGTCACCCTGCTTATTTAACTTATATGCAGAGTACATCATGTGAAATGCCAGGCTGGATGAATCACAAGCTGGAATCAAGATTGCCGGGAGAAATATCAACAACCTCAGATAAGCAAATAATACCACTCTAATGACAGAGAGTGAATAGGAACTACAGAGCCTCTTGATAAGGGTGAAACAGGAGAGTGAAAAAACTGGCTTAAAACTCAACATTCAAAAAACTAAGATCATGGCATCTGGTCCCATCACTTCATGACAAATAGAAAGAGAAAAAGTAGAAACAGTGACCATCTTTATTTTCTTGGGTCCCAAAATCACTGTTGATGGTGACTGCAGCCATGAAATTAAAGATGCTTGCTCCTTGGAAGGGAAACTATGACAAACCTAAACAGCATATTAGAAAGCAGAGACATCACTTTGCCGACAAGGGTCTGTATAGTCAATGCTATGGTTTTTTCCAGTAGTCATGCATGGATGTAAGAGTTGGACCATAAGGAAAGCTGAGCGCCAAAGAATTGCTGTTTTTGAATTGTGGTGCTGGAGAAGACTCTTGAAAGTCCCTTGGGCTTCAAACAGATCAACCCAGTCAATCCTAAAGGAAATCAACCCTGAACATTCCTTGGAAGGACTGATGCTAAAGCTGAAGCTCCAATGTTTTGGGCATTTGATGCAAAGAGCAGACTCATTGGAAAAGACCCTGATGCTAGGTAAGATTGAGGGCAAAAGGATAGGGGGGCGACAGAGGATGAGATGGCTGTATAGCATCATCGACCAATGGACATGACTTTGAGCAAACTCTGGGAGATAGTGAAGGATAGGGGAGCCTAGCATGCTGCAGTCCATGGGGTCAAAAAGAGTCAGACATGACTTAGCAACTGAACAACAACTACAACTTACCCCATTGTCATTCACTCATGATTTATTGAACACCTTCTGGGTTTGGGCCCTGCCAACTTCCTGACCTCATCTCCTCCCACTCCTTGCTGTTCCTAAACTGGCCCAAGCTCATTTTTGCCTCAGAGTCTTTGAACTTGTGAAGCCTCTGCCTGGAGCTCTCTTTCTCTGGCTTCTCCCATGGCTGGCTCCATCTCATCACTCAAGTCTCTGCTTAGATGTCACCTCTTCCAGGAGACCCTTGCTGGCCACCCTGTCTAGGAACCAGCACCCTCCACTGCTCACCCAATTTTATGTCCCTTGAATGTCACCTCCAAGGAGACCAGGGACTAGGACTGTTGAGGTTACCACCTATTAGGTAGAACCCCACAAACACGTGTTAGATGAATCTTGGGTGCTCCAGGCACAACTGTACTTACAGAACACACACAGAATGAGCACCCACTATATGTAAGTGCTCATCAGCAGGCTTACATACCCACTATATGCAAGCCCATTTTATAAGATGGGAAACTGAGGCACAGAGAAGTTGAATAACTTGCTTAAGATCTCATGGTTAGTAAGTAGAGGAACTGGGATATCCTACTGCATGTTGCAAGAGTATGCTGAGCCAAACACAGGACAGAGTCACACAGCTCAGGGGCCAATGGGCAAGCTGGCCATTGTAGGAAGTCAGGGACACTTCCCAGAAGAAGTGATGCCTCAGCTATGCCAATGCAGGGTTCCTCTGAACAGAAGAACCAGAGCAGAGGCCAAGGAGAGAGCAGTAAGTCTGCAAGACGAGAAGTCAGCTTGTGTGGCTGGAGTAGGGAATACTGAGTGCGTCATGAGTTCGGGGGTTTGGTCACCTCAACTCTCTGTGACTGAGGTTAAAAAAAGTCCCAGAGGGTAAAATGTGGGACAATATCTCTAAGAAGATGGGCAGGACCCTCCATATCATTCAGGACCTTGGCAAGACTAGGGGTCCAAATTTTATTCTAAGATTTCTAAGCAACACCTCACAATTTGCATGAGGTCCCAAAGGACCACAGGAGTCTCCGGAAATTTCTGCTGACTCCCTGTGGGACGCTGGGCACCTCTGCAGCCTCTCTTAGTCTTCAAGGGTCTCAGTCTCCCAACTGATATTAGATGACCCAGTCCCAAAAGCACAACCCCACTCCATCAGTCTAGCATCCCATAAACAGAATGCTGTTAACCAATGAGATCTTGACATTCCTAGAGTCTGATTCCGGGACTCTTGTGCTCTGGCCATCACATACTTGCTAAGGCCGACCCACCACCATGGCACTTTGCCAAGCAGCCTCTCTGGGCAGGGGGTTGCATTCTCCTGCTCCTTGGTCCTACCCAGATATGGGAGCTCCCCTAGGTTTTGGCTGGATTGAGGGGGGGGCGGGTTTCTGCTGAGATCCTCCTGGAGACAAAGGAGCTGACCTGCAAAGAGTTCCAGCGGGAGCCCCGCTCCCCCTCCCTTCCCCCCTCTCCCTTCCCAGTCCACGTGTCTCTATTGTCTGCTCCCCGCTTCAGGGAAAGACACAGCCTCGGATGTGTCAAAACCACCACCCCCCGGCAGCAGGGAAATTAATTACTGGACGATTTTCACTTCCTCTTGCAGCGCCCGCCTGAGCTAGGCACCAGAACAGGACTGGCTGAGCTAGACTGGGCATCAGCAAGGGGGACTTGCTCCCCTCATCAGTTCTGGAAGAAGAAAGTTGAACCCCAAACCCAACAGGAAGCTTCAGTGGGAGGCCAAGCTGGGGAGGGGGGATGACTTCCCCTAGTTAAAGCTGAGTGTCCAAACGGGCCCCTTCAAAACTAGGGGACGGGGAGGAGGCTGGAGGCAGGGGGGCGTCTGCCGCTGGCGAGCTCACACTCTTCTCTGCATTCCCTTCCTTGTGTCCCCATGTGCCTGAACCCCGCCTGCTCAGACTGTTCTACCTCCTCTCCTCTCTCCTCCTGTCTTGCATTTCTCTTCCCCTTTCTTTGCATCCCCTGGGTTGCTTTCTTTTTGTGTATCTGGAGGTCTCTTTTTCTCCCGTGGGTGTGTGTTGTTACTTCTCTCCGTCTCTGCCTTTCTCTCTCTCTCTCTCGCTCTCTCTCTCTCTCTGTCGTGTCTTTTTGTCCTTATCTTGGTCTCTGCTCCTATTTCTATCTCTTTCACTGTGTATGTATCTCTCTTTTTCTGTATGTCTCTTTCTGTCTCTGTGTATCTCATCTCCGCGCTCTCTCTCCTCCTTGTTCCCCCTCCCCCCCGCCCCCCTTTCTCCGTCTCTCTCTATCTCTGCTTTTCTCGCCCTCACTTTCTCCCCTCCTGCCTGCCTGGGCTCCCTGCGCCTGGCCTGCCCCCACCGCCGCCGGTTCAGGGGAACGTGTGCGGAGCGATTGTCCTGGGGGACATTTGATGGATTAGAGCGCTGAACAGTTCCATTGCTGGGGACCACCTGATCTCCTCCAGCCTGCGTCCCATATAAAGCCGGCAGCCGGAGTGCTGAGCACAGCTCCAGCGATCGCCTGTCTGAGAGCCTCCGCCGCCGCCGCCGCCGCCAAGCCCGAGCTGGAGCCAGAGCTACAGCCGGGGCCGCAGCCACCGGTGCCGGCTCCGCGCTGCCGCCCGCCCGCCCGCCCGCTGGGAGCTGTCCAGTGCTGAAACCCCGCGCAGACAGCCAATCGCGCCCGGCTGGCCTCCTCCCCCCGACCAGGGCCCCTCGCAAGTGCCCCCGCCGAGTCCCACGCCAGTCGCACCATGCCCCGCTCCTTCCTGGTAAAGAAGATCAAAGGCGACGGCTTCCAGTGCAGCGGGGTGCCGGCCCCCACCTATCACCCCTTGGAGACCGCCTACGTACTGCCTGGAGCCCGGGGGCCTTCCGGGGACAACGGTGAGTGGGACCCGGCGGGGGGGAAGAAGAGGGGAGGGGAGTTCGGGCCCTCCCCAACTCGGGCCACGAGGAGGGGTGCGCGCGGCAGGGAACCCCGGGAGATCTCCCTGGCTGTGGGCGCCTCCCGGGCTTCCCGAGGGCCGGGCAGGCGGGGCAAGGGCCAGGTTCGTACAATGGGAAAGTCGCAGGGTCGGCCCATCCCGCCGCTGAGTGAGCGTCAGCCTGGACTTTGAAAGTTGTGGCCCTAGGTTGGTACTGGAGTGAGGGATGGTGAGAGAGAGTGGTGTCCATTAAGGGTTAGTGCTGGGGGGCTAATGCACAAGGCATTCTAAGGGTCCCTCCTCCTGGTTGAGGGAAAGAGGCTGGTTGTTCGAGAGTGCTCTCTTGATGGGGAAGGTAAACTGGCCTGGACCACCAGTCCCTGGGGAGAGAGGGTTGGCTCCCTAGGGGTAGCTGGGGGCACCCTCTTTCCCTTCAAGCCTGCTCCCCCTGGTGATGCCAGACAAGTCTTCTCAGCCCCCTCTCTCAGCAACTCTTTTGTTACCCTCAGCCACATGCCTGCCAAAGGCTGGGCCTGTCCTGGGGACTGAGAGGAAGAGGGAATTTCTAGGAGGGGTTCCCCCAAGGTGGCTCTTGGTTTCCTGGGCCGCACCCCCTTCCCCCCTCCAGTTTCTCACTCCCCTCTAGAGCCAGCCCTGCTGTTTCTTGTCAGTCCCCCACCCCCAACACACTCTATTTCTTTTCAGAGCAAGTTCCTATAGTGACGAGGGTTTGGGGGACAAGAGAGGTCACTCAGGCCCAAAAAGGGGTGATCTCTGGAGGTAGTGGGGAAAAATCAGAGCCTGGTTCTGTGGACCCCACCCCCCATCAAGGGGATCACAAAAGGGTTCTCCTCTGATGGTCCCCACCAGGACAGGTGTCTGAAGAGCAGGCATCCCTTTGGCAGTAAATCTGACATCACATGTGGCATCAGCTTTGGGGTATGCGTATGTGTGTTGTATGTGTGTGCGTGCGTATGTGTGTGTGTAAGTGGGAAGGAAAGAAGAGAGAGAAAAAGGAGAAAAGAAAGGGCTGAAGATGAGGAGGTAACTGAGATGGCAAAGACAGGAGGGTGGGAGCTTCTGCCTCAGGGATTTCCAAGCACTTCGCCCACATTCCATCACTCTGCCAAGCCAGGTAGCAAGAGGGCGCTGGGTAAAATGCTCTGTGACCTCATCAAGGTCAAAGAAATTAGGGAGCAAACAGGGATACAGCTCCAGCCCCTCACCCCCTGACCTCCCCCAGATCCCCAAGAGAACCAACCCCCTTTTCTTTGCCCCACGTTTCTTATTCTACTGTCCTCTTTCTTGACCCCAGGGGCTCTTGGGGTTGAGGACTGAATCCCAGGGATATGGCTGGGCTTATCTGAGTGCTGGCAGGACAGAGGGTGGACCTGGGGCCATGCCAGGGCCGGGGACCTCGGTAGAAATGGAAATGCCTGTAAGCCTAAGATGTCGATCCCTTGGAGGACGGACACAAAGCCCTGGGTTCCTGCCCACTGAGGGCCCCTTGGTCCTGTCCCAGGCCAGCTGAGGAAACCCAGAGAAGCCTAGAGAATTTCTCATGCACAGCCAAAACTGCAGACTGTTCCTCGGGAGGGAGGCAGGAATGCCTTGCCTTGAATTCAGTCCAAAAAAGCTTTGAAAAGAGCCTCTGAGCAAATAGTGGGAAGCGAGGTAAGGGCCAAGCCATCAGCAGGGATGTTCTACCAGCTTTAACCCCCTAGAACCACCCTGTCCTTGGCCCTTACCCTAAAGGGCTCCAGACCAGCTCCTTCTGGGGAATTGTGAGGTTGTCCTGACAGTCTGATATCTGGCCTGGAACTCTGGGAGGCCTGGGCTGTAGGTCTCTGACTTGCTATGTGACCTTGGGCAAGTGCCTTTCCTTCTCTGATCCTCCATCTCCTCAACAGTGAAAGAATTTGGATGGCATGATCTAAGCATCCTTCCAACTTTGACAAGCTCAGTTTCTGTGAAGGTCAAGTGTGGGGTGGGAGGCATTGGAGATGACGATGAGGGTCTAACAGAATGCAGGGGGCCATTGTCAGGGTTTCTGTAGGGCTCCATTTACCATCTGATGTCTGGCTGAGGGTGGCAGAGTTTCTGAGGCCAAGCACTTTTCTTGGCTTCAGTCTCTGCAGGCAGCCCAGGGCAGAGGACAGGTACTCTGCCCTAGCTGCCCTGACAGCGTCTGCAGTAAATGGTTAGTGCCAGAGACCAAGGGTGACCCTTCAAGCCTGAGTATGGCTGGGAAACACAGAGTCTGCCTTATTTGTGATGGGACGGGGCGGGGGGGGGGGGGTGTCTCTTCCATCCCTGGGGTGTGGCCAGACTGGGAAATGAAGGCTCCTGCATCCCACGGGTGGGTAGGGGTGCTGGGGGTCCTCGGAGAGCCTGCCGGCATCTAGTGGTCCGTTGTCTCCGCTCTGCCGGAAATAACCTTGCTGAGCGTTTGAGGGAAGTGTGAAAAATTGCTGAGCCGACGTTTTTCTCTCCCAGCGTGTGTAAGTGTGCTGGGTAAACAAGGAGAAAGAGAGGAGGGGGGGAGGTGAGGAGAGTGAGGGAGAGCAGGAGGGGGGAAGGAGAAAGGAGGGAGGGAAAGGGGGAGAGCCTGGGGCTGGAGATAGTTCCAGTTATTAGAAAGATCCTCTTACAAGCCATTCCTGCAGCAACAACGGCTGCAGGGTCAGGGAGACCAATGGGAGGGGAATCTGGGATGGGGGTGGTGGGCAGGAAGGGAGCCTGTGAATGTGGAGGTCAGGGGAACCACAGGCTCCTGACTGATGAAGATGCAAGACCCCAAATTAAAGAGACGCCCAGGGAAAGCTTGGGAGTGCTGGAGAATTCCTGGAGGACTCCTCCTCCTCCACACACACACACACACACACACACACACACACACACACAACAGCAGCCTCCGTGGGCCCGGCAGAGGGTGTGGCAGGTACATCTGGGCTCCAGGCTCCCCCTGAATGCACCTAAATAGGGAAGAAGCCCCACAATGGGGCAAGTTCTAGGTTTCTCTGCAGCACTCCCCAAAGAAGGGAGAGCAGATCTAATTTCATCATCCTCTCCAACGTAATGCCTCTTTTCTCCCCCTCTTGCTTCTCCACTGCTTTCTGCCTCTGTGTAGCCCTCCCTTCCCCTCCTTTCCCCTGGGTGATTCTGAGCACAGATTCAGTCCCTCGATGAGATGGCAATTCACATTCTCCCAACCCTCTCAGAACCTCATCCTCCAACTCCATCAAACTTCCCCCTTCCCAGGCCTGGGCTCCATCCTGGGGAATGCTAGGGACTCCTCCATCTGAGAGAAGGAAGCTGCCCACCCAGCTGCACACCAGTGGTCTCCATGGACCCACAGACATCTTCACTGCCCCGGAGTATCGACCTCTCCACACACCCTAACTCTGAACTCCAGCTGGATGCCAGGTCCTCCATCCTCTTAACCCCCACCACGTCCTGCCCTCATACTCCTTCAGAGTACATCCGACTCAGGCAGATGAGGGATCAATGCCAATCCAATAACGCAGTTGTCTGCCCTCCACAGCTACATTAAGCCTCCCCAGCAGCTGAGGAAGCGCTCCTACTTCTGCCCATGGGCTTCTCTAGTTGACCACATTATACCAGCACCCGCTTCCGCTCACTCCTTCTGATGGCGCCGAGGAGTCGCCCCAGTCCGGGCCTGGGAATCTGCTCAAAGTCCCCAATTGCCACACGTCTACCCCACACTTTAGAAAGTCTATTTGGGGTGCAGGGATGCAAAAGGGCATCCCCAGTCCCTTGGCAGAGGGAGCTCAGAGAGGGCCGTGGAGGTGTCAAAGGACACACAGCAGGCCCGCCTGAGTGTTCTTTAACCACCTCTGCCCCTGGCATCTTGGTCTTGGTCCAGGTCCAAGGTCAAGCTTAGAGACATGGCAGAGGTTCAGGTTCAAAATCCATGTCCAACCTTCATTCTAGGACAAGGTCTGAAGTCTAGTTCCAAGGTCAATGTCCCAGGTTACAGGCTCACTTCAAAATTCAAAACAAATCCATGTCCAAGTTCAAGTTTCAATCCATGTTCAAGTCAACATTCATGCTCCAGGATCCAGATCTGGGTCCAGATCCAATTTCTAGTCCAAGGTCGTGTCCAGGTCCATTCTCAAGGCTGGCCAGTTCAAGTCTTAGAGCCAGTTTCCTCTGAAGCTCTGAACTAATCTTCCCCTACCCGAACCTCAGTTTCCCTCTTACAAAAAAAAGCAGTCGAACTTGATCTCTTTCAGCTCTGGCCTTCCAGGGACCCAAAACTCTATTTTTTAGAAAATCTGTCAGCAGGAATGTGCAATAAAAGGGATGGGATACTGAATATGGGATACTGAATCTGGGGTCCATGCCCCCCTTAAGCCTGGGGTCACAAGGGGGACATGAAGGAACCAGGCTGAATGTCCACTCTTCAGACAGTCTCAGATTTTGGCTTCTGATAGAGGTCAGGAGAGTATATCAAGTCCCTACGGCAGCATAGCAATTTATACATCCCAAACACACACGCATACACACACAGAGTGGGCTCAGGGCAGCAAGCGCAGAGTGCAGGCGAAGGTCAGCTTCAGCCTCCAGAGCGAAGCTGAGGTTGGAGAGGTGGCTTGCCTGAGATGACAAGGGCATAGTCGGTGCATGTATCACCCCTCCCGGTGGGTGCTCCATACACGTTCCCAGGGACCCCCCCAGCCTAGGGGCGCTCTCGGGGCGGGGGGGGGGGGGGGGGTTGTGAGATGCTGCTGGGAGAGATGAGGCCCCGGAACTCTTGGCTTCCTTCCAGCTGTGGTCTCCCCTGGGATGGAGTAGCTGCCGCCAGCCTTTGGCTAAGAAGGGAGGTTGGCATGGGCCCTCTGCCTCTTCTGGAGCACAGAGAGGGTAGGGAAGGAAGCAGAGGGCCCAGAGAGACAATGTACATTATACAAGACACCAGGTCTCCAGAAGGAGGCC